GCTCTGAGAATACATGTAGGAGAAGATTTCTATGGAAAAATTAAGCTGTTTATGTCCCGTGGAGCAGAATGTTCATGATGGGACATTTCAAGTGGCAAAGCTATGATCCGTTGTTCATTGCCCATTCCTCCATTATTGTTAGGTCTTTTCGAAGCTCAAATGAATCGTCTTTGATCGTCCTGGACCTTTACTTGTTCGCATCAACTGCATAGATTGATGATGCCAGCCCGCATATCCTCTATATATCTTGGTACGAAACTTCTTATTCTCTAGGTAGTTTCTGAGCCCACAAAGAAGTGGATCAGTGAACCCATTTTCGCAACCTTCGATATTAGAATTACTTGTGGTGCTGAGCTAAAAGGCTTTCTTAAAGTCAAAGAATATCATTTGGAGCGGTATTTTTTGGTCGCAGCGGGTTTTCCAGCTGTCCCGTGCTATGAGAAGATCGGATGAACATGGTCTGTCTTTCCTAAACGCGTGTTAGGCTTCATGGAGGATATCGTTGTGACATACGCACTCTCTCATATGCTTATTCACTAGTCTTTCCTCTTATTTCGATAGTATTGTTAGTAATGCGACTGGTCTTTAGCACGTCGGACCTTTTCTGTCTGCAAGTTTGAAGATTGGAGAGAGGAGCTTTTTTCTATTCAGCTGGGAGTTATTATGACTCCAGTTTGGTGTACAACCGTGACGTGCGGGGTTAAAATGAAAGAGCGAAAATCTTGAGCAATTACGGACAGAGTATAAAGTTCGTCATCTAATTGCTCAAGATTATAAATAATTTCTGGCGAAGTATTGCTATGAATGAGTACAAGACAACTAAGAGTCATTGCAATAGGATTTTTGAATTCTGGATTAGGTGCTTTTAATGGTGTTTACCTCTGCTGGTGAAATATTGTGCTTGTTTTACTGTTCGCTCCATATTTAGTAATTGTAAATATGAGATAATTTGACAAAATATGAATGATGGAAAACCAGATGTGACAATTACTTTACAGCTATGCTTTTATAAAAGGCAAAGTAAATCACACATATTTACATTAAGGACAATAGGGAAGTAAGTTAACAAAAGCCAAGAACTTATATACGGTTGAAAAATGTTAAATATCAACTCCTCGTTAATTGGTGAAATGAAAATTTTTCGAAGGTTTCATAAGGCCTTCCTAACCACGTGGGGTGGGTTTGTTAGGGCTAGTCTATTCAAGGTCCCTTCAAAGTGCTCTGCACACCTGTCTAGCTCTTGAATGTCAGTGATTGGTTTGCTTTCTTTGACTAGTCGCTCCGGTTTACCAGATTTTCTTGCTAGTTTCTTTGTTTTATCTCACAGTTGTCCTATATTTCTTTCACTTGCAGCTTTTCAACTGTCGTTGCTAGATCTTCCGTATATTTCCGATAGTTAACCATAGTGGTTCTCTTTACTCTCATGTTCGCTTCTGTATGTTTTGTCTGAGTCTTGGCGTTATTCGCTCCTGCTCCACTGTTGCTGATTACTGTCATCATTTTCTGGATATGATTTATAATTGCAAATAATGGACAAAGGCAATTTAGATCGTCAATATATCATATTTTCAGTAACATATGCCAACAGTAGCGGTGTGATACTAGTGAAGTATTGTCAGTTAAAAGATAATGAATATAAATTAGTGTTTGGTCACATCCAAACACGTTAGGATAAGACTCATTAAAACTTACATTAGCTAGGTCTCGAGCAACTTCAAATTGTTTTTCACCCGTATGCTCCGGGGTAACTGAAAGAGCAATCAAACGTAGCTGTAATGCCTCTCTGCTTCGACCAGCTGTATGACATAGGTCGATAAGACGCTGGCGTAACGACATATCGGTTCGATTTCTACGAAGAGCTAAAGTTATAAAATGATAGAAAAGTCTAAAAATGCACTTCCAGTGTGCAATAAGAAATATGTGAAAAGCACTATAAATACATATGAATTAACAACTTTTGGACTGACTACACAAAAATGCATACCCTGTCGTGCATAATGTATAGCAAGAGGGAAATCTTCAGCCTCTTCAGCCCAGTCCACTAGAGTGAGCCATGTATTTTTATCAGATGGGTTTCGCTGAGCAGCTTGATACAAAAACTGAAAATGAATCGTAAGCAAAGAAGCAAATCAATCGGGAGAATGAAAACGTTCCAATCGATATGCCTATTATTTGAAAATCAGCTGGAGACAATATAGCTATAAAATTTCTTATAAATCACAGGTCGTGTAAACAACCAATCTCTCATTGCTAATGCACTTAACTATAAGTTGAAGATCTATCGTTTTATTCGTAATTCACAGTTTCAATTGTTTTTCAACTATAAAATGAATTGGTTAATTTAGTTAAACTCACCTCTTTGGCTTTTTCTTGGTTCCCACGACGGAAACTAATTTCGGCCAGAACAATGTACGGTTGGGAAGCTTGGGGAGCTAAATAAAATAGAAATAACAATGCTTGTCTTCTTAGAATTAAGTGCAAGTAAATGAACGAGACAAAAATGACAGCACGAGAAAATTTTCATGCAGAAGCATGTCTCACTATTTATTGGGCTCACAATTTTTAAGTAGTATACAATGATTTACCAAAGAATAAGTCTGAAATGACTAATAGCCACATACATGACAAGCAAGGATTGATGATTTAATGAGTAGATATATCCATCTAACATTTCAAATTAAATGTTGAACTTCTCAGCAGTTCTATGCCCGTTTAAAAAATGAGGACGGCAACATTTACTTTACTAAAACGGAATTTTCACCATTTTCAGCCAAAACTACTGTTCATACAAAAACTTAACGGCAACTAACACCTCGGATGTTTCCTTTAAATTCTTGATCCAATAAAAAGTACGATTGTCTGGCGAAAAACAATGAATTCGAACTAAATATTACTTTGATACATTAAGGTTTGTTTGTTTCACAATTTTCACACCTATTAGTAGTTTGAAAACTGAGAAGCTGATTCTATTCGATCCATACAAAGAAGGCGGTTTTACTGCTTAGATAGTGTCTCATTGGATTAATGTGCGCAATAGTAACTTGTTCATGATTGTCCGAATCACAAAATGCATTAAGTTTAAAGCACACACTTATATTAAAATCAGGGTTGACAGACTTATAAGTAATGATTTTGATGAAATCCTTTTTCTATACCAACCAACCTTGTTATTGGATATATCTACTACTAAATATCACCAGTTGACTATACTCCATCCTTGAGACTTAAAGACTGCATAACTTCTTAAGTAGAAAATAAGATAAATTATGTACCCTTCTTCAGTTAACAGATACTACATAAATATCAACTGATAAACTTACCTGTATCAATGATCTGATGGCAAATACGTTCAGCATGTTCAAATTCATCATTGTTCAAATGTCTTTCAGCTTCTCCAAGATACTGTGCTAATTCAATCGGTAAGCGAGCACGTTTAGACTATTAAATTTCATGGAAGTTAAGTGTTAATTTTCTTGGAACATATAAAAGTTACAATAAGTGGTCCTCTTAATTTTGGTTTTTTCTTCCCAATCGTATCACAACCTTGTCGTCTTGTGGATCTCCTTGTTCCTAAAACAAATATTTTTAGAGCAATCTTGCTTATTGAAAATGTCATGGCAATAAAACTGTCTAGAACGAAAATAATTATACCAGACTGCATTACAACAAACAACCTATTCAAAACAATGCGATTTAGTTTCCCCTTAGAAGAATTTATTCTATAAGGTGCGGTGAAACATTTCGAGATAGCAAATTATATTACTGATAGATGATGTGCAATCAGGCGAACATGAAAACGAATCCGTTAAAGACAAAAGGTTAATAGAGTAACAGACAGATATCTATGAATTCCATACGTGGAAAAGATATAAGAATAATACTGATGTGATAGTAAAACTACCCGATTGCAGCAGATACCTCAACGTGGTGGTCAAACTTGTTTATCGCGATAACCCAACTGAATTGGCTGGTCCTACCATGTCAAGTAGGTCGACTGGGAACGGTAAAACTAAAGACAGAAACTTAGGATCTGAGGGCAGGGTCGTACTGCTGACTGTAGACGGGTGTGACGGCCGTAAGGTGTTTCCATAGAATGGCCAGCATTCACAGCGGTGCTGCCTTCCCACAACGGAGGGAATGGGTTGGAAAAGATCACCGCTAAAAGTGTCACACCTCATCTTATCCCACGGCGGTAAGGCCTTTTGAAGAGTGAAGCCAACACTTCCCAAACATCCCATAAAAAGGCCGTGTATGACCGGCCTCATGCAGCTGTCCCTTAGGCTCCGAAATCAGTCTCCCATGTTACTAAGACCAACTCTAATCTAACTCCAGTTTCAGGTTCTTCAAGAAATACCCTTGGACGGTGTGGGCGACCGGGAAGAAACGTACGCCGATGTGATCATAGCCCCCTCAGTAGACAGCTTTAAGAAGTGGCTTGATAATCACATACTCACATACGGACTATCATCTCCCTATTGCACAAGCTTTTCATGATGTATAGTTCGAGACTTGATAGTTCTTATCATTGCCATCTCTTCAGACCACTTACTTAATCTATCTCGCCTCTCATCTCTGTTTTCGGCCCCCTCCCTTACACTACGGCCCTCTCTCACTATCCACTAACAATCAACAAACTAAATTCATCTATATATTACTCAGTTCTGAAATTTTATTCATATTATCATTATAATTTTATTCTTATTACCCTTATTACTCTACACATTGCAACCAGCTGATCTCTGGTCTGGTAATGTGGCGGCTGCTGGTATCCAGAAACCCTACTGCCCTGAAACAAACGTTTCCATTCAAATCCCGAGACAAACTCACAACCAACTACCAAATGACTAGAATTAGATAGTCGAGTGGCTAGACCTCCATCCATTGGAAACTACCGAACACCTGGAACCTTACCGAAAGAACAATAATCCAGCGCAAAGAAATCAATTGGTTTACACTAGCTCGTGAAAAAGATATTGGATATTGGATTTACACTTAGTAGCGCTAGTTATAGTATTCGTCGTTACATTTGTTCGGCCGGCAATATGGTTCGGGCAAATAATATGTAATTGGAGGAATTCCTTAAATATTTCAGACGCTGTCTTCATTTAGAATATTTTAAATAGAAGCAATTGATTCGACTTTTTTACGTATGACCTAAAAAATCAGTTTTTACCAATCCTCTCAATCCTGCTCCTTCCTTTCGTACTGTTAATCCTTGCATCGTAAATGGTTGATGCACGCATTACGGATGAGTGGGATAATGAAGGTGAATTGGAATTGGCCCAAGATTTTGAAGTTATTGATCTGAACGTATGATGTATTCAAAGTTCGATTAAATTTTCCCTCTACAGGACTTTGGTTCAGGTTATGGTTGCGTTTCGGAAGCAGATGACTCAACATATATTTCTTCTTTTCTTAACAGTCTTGTGACGGATGAGACTCTTTATTCACGATATCTGAATGGGATTATCAGTTTTGATGATTTGATGCGTGAAATGCACCATTCTACCGCCCTAGACAATGATTCTTGTCGGAGTAGTGATTCAGACTGTTCTAGTAAAGACAACGAACCTGATTATATCGCACGTACGTTTACGCATGATTATTTCTTGTTTTGCTGCAAACCCACGTCCATTGTGTTGTGTAGGAACTATGAGCACGTACCCAACCCTGATGCTTGCTTATATGGATTTACTTAAATTAGTTTGACACCAATTGGCTAAGCAATACTGAAAGAAGTCTCACGTTAACCTACCCTCAGAACACTGTCCAACCGTGTTGCGTAAAATCAGAATGGGTGATCAGTAATGGTATTAATTACTAAAATGAGAATCCAAAAAGGCCAAAATAATGTGGTGAAAATGGCTTTGAGATACAGTAAGTGTAGATAGTATTATTTTAAAAGTCAGGGTGGAAAGGACTTATGAAGGGATACTAAAATTTTGACGCCTAGTGGAAGACTAATCGGTTGTAACTCGTATCACTGAAAGTTATGGCTAATAACGTTTATCCATTAGTCTTGACTGCACTAAAGTTTGGAGTAGAAAAAAAATTCCATCCTACCAACTAATGACCTAACGATTTAGGACTCAGCTACTCCGTATCAAATTCTTACTCACCTACCTTTTATTAAGCTTCTGAGAGATTTTTCACTTTGCTTGCAAAGTTTGGTTGAGAATCGTCTGCAGTGACTGGATGCTGATCTCATGGATCTGAATGATTTTGTAGTTACGGTGCTGAAAATATAAAACACTTTTTACGAATTATTCGCCTCACCCGTCATTGCATTGTTTGTTGTTTCAATATTCTTAAGGGTAGCAACCTCAGATCTTTTCATAGATTCACTGCTGTACTCACTACTTGGTACTGTGGAAAACGAAAGAATAGTGGCTTTAAAAAATTAGACGTCTGTGACAGCAAAAGGGATTAGGCTAGTTTTAGATATATAATTATGGTCCCCTCAATCCAGAGTAGAGTAAAGCTTACTGTTGGGCTTTTGGTTGATTTATTACTACCGCTTTTCATTCGTCGCAATATTGTCTATGAATCTTCTTAGGTAAAATACCTATTAAGCATTTTATGTACCTAGCTACATGGAAACAACTAAATTTTTAAATGTACGATGCGAAAGATTATGATTGAACGTAGTCTGATTGGTGAGTACCAACCTCAAGATTGATGCAGACATCTTTTTTTGGGGAGTGATCTGTCACCATTGAAATCGATATCCATCTTTGGCACCAGTTTACCAATTCTGTTGAGAATTTACGCTTTATATTGTCAACAGATAATGATGGATATCCATGGTCGACGAGTATTTTCCTTAGAAGACTACTCCATCAGTATAAGACGGTTGTCGAAGGCTGTCAAAAGGAGACCCGGGACCTAGAACCATGTTATTTAGCACTCTTCAGCAAGATGCACCTGTACTCCTGACTGATTCGATCCCGTGTCAGTCAGTCAGTTGCAACGTAGAACTTCGTACGTATGTGCATAAGTTCAGGTTGCCACACCACATTAGCACAGAGACGCAAATGTCAAATCAAATCCCACAGTGATAGAGATAGAAGAGGTATTAATGGTAATGAAGAAGACTAGGGTTTGAAGATATTATTCAAGAAGTATAATTCATTGAGATTAGGTTAGAAAGACAAAGGTAGAGGTGCTGACGAATCCAGATTAGGATTTGAGAGAGCTCAAAGAATGGATGCACTTGCGCCATTGCAAACTATTTCTAGCCATGTCGTTCAAGGTCTCTAACCATTGGTGACTTTCGTCTCGCGGACCCCAACCAGGTAGTCTAAATCTACCAACATTATTCAGTCCACTTGTCAGTGACTTCATGCATTTCTGCTATGTTTTGGTCTGGCCGCCCCTAGCTTCCTTACAAACTGCTCCTACACCACAAAACACAGCTCGTCCAGGCAGTCGGTGGTTAGGCATTCGTAACACATGTCCCAACTACCTCAACTGATGAAGTTTCAATACTTCATCTATTGATCTGCCATCCTTACCTAGTACTCGTCTCCTAACGACAACATCGCTTACTCGGCTGTCCCACGATATATGAACAATGCTTCTAAGACATCTATGATCGAAGACTAGTGACCTACGAATATCTAATCTTAACGGCCATGTTTCGCATCCATATAGGAGAACGGAGCGAACTGCTGCACAGTACACTCGTCCTTTGGTTAGCGAACGGATACCTCGCCTACGCCATAAACGGCGTAAGTTGGCAAAAGCCAATCGAGCTTTCTGTATCTGTGTCGAGATTTCGTCACACACGAGGCCATCAGCGCTGATGAGACTCACCAGACAAGTGAGGCAGTCTATGCGCTCAACTACTCCACTCTCTATCACTAGTTCAGGTGCCGATGCAACCTAATAGTGAAGCAACATTTTCCGTTTCGAGTGGGAAAACCGCATCCTGAACATGCTTGCATTGTTGCTTATGGTAGTCAGAAGACTGCATTTTGTCAGCGTCTTCACCGAATAGAACTATATCATCGGCGTATTCTAGGTCAATAAGCGATCCTCCTGGTAGATGGTCAACCCTGAAAAATCTGACGAGCTTAATGCTAACTCTAAGAGGACGCCTACGGCAAAGTAGAGAGTGGACATCTGTGGCGGACACTACTTCAAGTAATGAATTCCGATGACAGTTCGCCGTAAGCTTTAACCCGACCAGTGGTGTCCGAGTACAGAGCTTGTATAAGGTTAATGTACTTCTTTGGTATACCTTTTAATGACAGACACTGCCATGGAACCTCACGATCCCATGAGTCGAATGCCTCCTTAAGGTCCAGGAAAACAACTATTGTGGGACGCTTAAGTGTGCATCTGTGTTCCACGACCTGTCGTAGTGTGAAGATGTGGTCTATACAACCACGTACAGCAATAAAACCAGCTTGGTTTCCCCTAGTCTGCTCTTCAAAAGCTCTAGTTAGGCGTCTAAGTATAATCGAGGCTAAACAATTTAGAAACTATAGTAGTTAGGCTTATTCCCTTGTGATTGTCACAAGAGGACTTTTGTTTTTTCTTGTAGATTGGGACAATTAGCGACTGAGACCCGTCAGAAGGGATTACGTCCAGTTCCCAGATTCAACCAAGGATCTCGGTCAGTCTAACTGTTAAAACTGGACCACCATCCTTAAACATCTCAGGGGTAAGCCTATCAGGACCTGCTGCTCTCCTTCGCTTTAGATTTCCTATCGCCTTCCCAACTTCATGTAGACTGGGAGGACTTAAATCGATTTGCCATTCAGGATGACTGGGGATCGTGGGCAACCGAAGTGTGGCTGAAGATCAGTTAATCTGGTCCCTAAAGTGTTCTGCCCATCTGTCCAATCTCCTGGATTGAGAATAAATGATAGCCATCCTTCTCTGATATAGTCTCACTCACATTCGGGTTCCTAATACCGGTTTCTTTGACAAGGCGGAAAAGTTATCTGATGTTGCCTATTGTCGCTGCTTTTTCTTCATCTTTTGCTTTCGCTACCCACCACTGTTCGCGATCATTGCTTAGGCTTTTTATCGGCCTTTGTTTAAAATGACTACGCTTCTCATCATGTTCAGATCCAGTAGGTGCTTGTCGTAGTACCTGTCGTTAAAGTAGATGCTACTGACATTCGCTGATTCTCCTTAACTTATTGGTTTACCTTACTGACAGGTATCACTGCTGTTTCCACAGCCTTCTGGATATCGATCGCAGTTGCCTTGGGGTAAACATTACTTGCATGGTTGGCTAATTGCTTTTCTAATTGCTCCTGAAATGCATTCTCGCCTTTTTCATCGTTAAGCAGAGCCTTAACGGGTTCCCTTGCTGTATCTTTCTTACGTCCAGTAAGCCATAGACAAGTACTTGTGCATGTAGTTTAGAGCGGGGTTTCAGGAAACCAGGCATAATGTTTCGTGTACTTAAGTCGTTAGCACCTCGTGGTGCTAGGTGACAAAGGAAAGGAAGAAGGGTTGCTCGTGGAGATAAGATAGTTATCAAAACGTGGGGATAGGATTTGATTGTGTCGTTAGGAGTATGAGGGCGTACGTTTCTTCCCGGTCGCCCACACCGTCCAAGGGTATTTCTTGAAGAACCTGAAACTGGAGTTAGATTAGAGTTGGTCTTAGTAACATGGGAGACTGATTTCGGAGCCTAAGGGACAGCTGCATGAGGCCGGTCATACACGGCCTTTTTATGGGATGTTTGGGAAGTGTTGGCTTCACTCTTCAAAAGGCCTTACCGCCGTGGGATAAGATGAGGTGTGACACTTTTAGCGGTGATCTTTTCCAACCCATTCCCTCCGTTGTGGGAAGGCAGCACCGCTGTGAATGCTGGCCATTCTATGGAAACACCTTACGGCCGTCACACCCGTCTACAGTCAGCAGTACGACCCTGCCCTCAGATCCTAAGTTTCTGTCTTTAGTTTTACCGTTCCCAGTCGACCTACTTGACATGGTAGGACCAGCCAATTCAGTTGGGTTATCGCGATAAACAAGTTTGACCACCACGTTGAGGTATCTGCTGCAATCGGGTAGTTTTACTATCACATCAGTATTATTCTTATATCTTTTCCACGTATGGAATTCATAGATATCTGTCTGTTACTCTATTAACCTTTTGTCTTTAACGGATTCGTTTTCATGTTCGCCTGATTGCACATCATCTATCAGTAATATAATTTGCTATCTCGAAATGTTTCACCGCACCTTATAGAATAAATTCTTCTAAGGGGAAACTAAATCGCATTGTTTTGAATAGGTTGTTTGTTGTAATGCAGTCTGGTATAATTATTTTCGTTCTAGACAGTTTTATTGCCATGACATTTTCAATAAGCAAGATTGCTCTAAAAATATTTGTTTTAGGAACAAGGAGATCCACAAGACGACAAGGTTGTGATACGATTGGGAAGAAAAAACCAAAATTAAGAGGACCACTTATTGTAACTTTTATATGTTCCAAGAAAATTAACACTTAACTTCCATGAAATTTAATAGTCTAAACGTGCTCGCTTACCGATTGAATTAGCACAGTATCTTGGAGAAGCTGAAAGACATTTGAACAATGATGAATTTGAACATGCTGAACGTATTTGCCATCAGATCATTGATACAGGTAAGTTTATCAGTTGATATTTATGTAGTATCTGTTAACTGAAGAAGGGTACATAATTTATCTTATTTTCTACTTAAGAAGTTATGCAGTCTTTAAGTCTCAAGGATGGAGTATAGTCAACTGGTGATATTTAGTAGTAGATATATCCAATAACAAGGTTGGTTGGTATAGAAAAAGGATTTCATCAAAATCATTACTTATAAGTCTGTCAACCCTGATTTTAATATAAGTGTGTGCTTTAAACTTAATGCATTTTGTGATTCGGACAATCATGAACAAGTTACTATTGCGCACATTAATCCAATGAGACACTATCTAAGCAGTAAAACCGCCTTCTTTGTATGGATCGAATAGAATCAGCTTCTCAGTTTTCAAACTACTAATAGGTGTGAAAATTGTGAAACAAACAAACCTTAATGTATCAAAGTAATATTTAGTTCGAATTCATTGTTTTTCGCCAGACAATCGTACTTTTTATTGGATCAAGAATTTAAAGGAAACATCCGAGGTGTTAGTTGCCGTTAAGTTTTTGTATGAACAGTAGTTTTGGCTGAAAATGGTGAAAATTCCGTTTTAGTAAAGTAAATGTTGCCGTCCTCATTTTTTAAACGGGCATAGAACTGCTGAGAAGTTCAACATTTAATTTGAAATGTTAGATGGATATATCTACTCATTAAATCATCAATCCTTGCTTATCATGTATGTGGCTATTAGTCATTTCAGACTTATTCTTTGGTAAATCATTGTATACTACTTAAAAATTGTGAGCCCAATATATAGTGAGACATGCTTCTGCATGAAAATTTTCTCGTGCTGTCATTTTTGTCTCGTTCATTTACTTGCACTTAATTCTAAGAAGACAAGCATTGTTATTTCTATTTTATTTAGCTCCCCAAGCTTCCCAACCGTACATTGTTCTGGCCGAAATTAGTTTCCGTCGTGGGAACCAAGAAAAAGCCAAAGAGGTGAGTTTAACTAAATTAACCAATTCATTTTATAGTTGAAAAACAATTGAAACTGTGAATTACGAATAAAACGATAGATCTTCAACTTATAGTTAAGTGCATTAGCAATGAGAGATTGGTTGTTTACACGACCTGTGATTTATAAGAAATTTTATAGCTATATTGTCTCCAGCTGATTTTCAAATAATAGGCATATCGATTGGAACGTTTTCATTCTCCTGATTGATTTGCTTCTTTGCTTACGATTCATTTTCAGTTTTTGTATCAAGCTGCTCAGCGAAACCCATCTGATAAAAATACATGGCTCACTCTAGTGGACTGGGCTGAAGAGGCTGAAGATTTCCCTCTTGCTATACATTATGCACGACAGGGTATGCATTTTTGTGTAGTCAGTCCAAAAGTTGTTAATTCATATGTATTTATAGTGCTTTTCACATATTTCTTATTGCACACTGGAAGTGCATTTTTAGACTTTTCTATCATTTTATAACTTTAGCTCTTCGTAGAAATCGAACCGATATGTCGTTACGCCAGCGTCTTATCGACCTATGTCATACAGCTGGTCGAAGCAGAGAGGCATTACAGCTACGTTTGATTGCTCTTTCAGTTACCCCGGAGCATACGGGTGAAAAACAATTTGAAGTTGCTCGAGACCTAGCTAATGTAAGTTTTAATGAGTCTTATCCTAACGTGTTTGGATGTGACCAAACACTAATTTATATTCATTATCTTTTAACTGACAATACTTCACTAGTATCACACCGCTACTGTTGGCATATGTTACTGAAAATATGATATATTGACGATCTAAATTGCCTTTGTCCATTATTTGCAATTATAAATCATATCCAGAAAATGATGACAGTAATCAGCAACAGTGGAGCAGGAGCGAATAACGCCAAGACTCAGACAAAACATACAGAAGCGAACATGAGAGTAAAGAGAACCACTATGGTTAACTATCGGAAATATACGGAAGATCTAGCAACGACAGTTGAAAAGCTGCAAGTGAAAGAAATATAGGACAACTGTGAGATAAAACAAAGAAACTAGCAAGAAAATCTGGTAAACCGGAGCGACTAGTCAAAGAAAGCAAACCAATCACTGACATTCAAGAGCTAGACAGGTGTGCAGAGCACTTTGAAGGGACCTTGAATAGACTAGCCCTAACAAACCCACCCCACGTGGTTAGGAAGGCCTTATGAAACCTTCGAAAAATTTTCATTTCACCAATTAACGAGGAGTTGATATTTAACATTTTTCAACCGTATATAAGTTCTTGGCTTTTGTTAACTTACTTCCCTATTGTCCTTAATGTAAATATGTGTGATTTACTTTGCCTTTTATAAAAGCATAGCTGTAAAGTAATTGTCACATCTGGTTTTCCATCATTCATATTTTGTCAAATTATCTCATATTTACAATTACTAAATATGGAGCGAACAGTAAAACAAGCACAATATTTCACCAGCAGAGGTAAACACCATTAAAAGCACCTAATCCAGAATTCAAAAATCCTATTGCAATGACTCTTAGTTGTCTTGTACTCATTCATAGCAATACTTCGCCAGAAATTATTTATAATCTTGAGCAATTAGATGACGAACTTTATACTCTGTCCGTAATTGCTCAAGATTTTCGCTCTTTCATTTTAACCCCGCACGTCACGGTTGTACACCAAACTGGAGTCATAATAACTCCCAGCTGAATAGAAAAAAGCTCCTCTCTCCAATCTTCAAACTTGCAGACAGAAAAGGTCCGACGTGCTAAAGACCAGTCGCATTACTAACAATACTATCGAAATAAGAGGAAAGACTAGTGAATAAGCATATGAGAGAGTGCGTATGTCACAACGATATCCTCCATGAAGCCTAACACGCGTTTAGGAAAGACAGACCATGTTCATCCGATCTTCTCATAGCACGGGACAGCTGGAAAACCCGCTGCGACCAAAAAATACCGCTCCAAATGATATTCTTTGACTTTAAGAAAGCCTTTTAGCTCAGCACCACAAGTAATTCTAATATCGAAGGTTGCGAAAATGGGTTCACTGATCCACTTCTTTGTGGGCTCAGAAACTACCTAGAGAATAAGAAGTTTCGTACCAAGATATATAGAGGATATGCGGGCTGGCATCATCAATCTATGCAGTTGATGCGAACAAGTAAAGGTCCAGGACGATCAAAGACGATTCATTTGAGCTTCGAAAAGACCTAACAATAATGGAGGAATGGGCAATGAACAACGGATCATAGCTTTGCCACTTGAAATGTCCTATCATGAACATTCTGCTCCACAGGACATAAACAGCTTAATTTTTCCATAGAAATCTTCTCCTACATGTGTTCTCAGAGCGCAATTTTGGCCTAATAACTTTAGGGAGCCTGGACATTACTTCAAACTAAATATGGGATGCTGAAATGCAAACTTAACTCTTCACTTTATGTATTGACAACTTGGTGCAATCAACTCTCTTTGAAATATACACACGATCACATCTTAAAGCTCACGATGTTGCAACTTGGAATGCTCTTCCAGACGAGGTGACCACAGTCACCTCAGTGGACGGCTCAAGGGGAGACTTGATAAACACGTACCCACATATGGATTATCATCTCCCTCGTGGACCAGCTGCTCCTGATGCATGCGTCGAAACTTGCTGGTTGTTATCATCTTCAGTCAGTCAGATGCAACGTAGAACTTCGTACGTAAGTACATCAGTTCATGTTGCCATACCACATCAGCACAGAGATGTAATTGTCAATTCAAATCCAATAGTAGAAGAGATAGTAAAGGTATTAGAAGTAATCCGAGAGGTTAGGATTAGAAGATATTCAAGAAATATGATTCAGTGAGAAAAGTTTAGAAAGTCGAAACTAGAGGTGTTGAAGAACTCAGAAGATTAGGATTTGAGAGAACACAAAGAATAAATGCACCGGCGCCATTGCGAACGATTTTGAGCCATGTCATTCAAGGTCTCTAACCATCGATTATTATCATCTTGCGGACCCCAACCAGGTAGTCGACAATTACCGACATGGCTAAGTCCACTTGTCAATGACTTCATGGATTTCTGCCATGTTTCTGGTTGACCACCACTAACTTTCTTCCAACCTACTCCTACGCTACAAAATAAAGCTCGTCGAGGCAGTCGGTGGTTAGGCATACGCAACACATGTCCCAGCCACCTCAACTGACGAAGTTTCATTACTTCATCTATTGATCTGCCATTCTTACCTAGCACCCGATTCCTAATAACAACGTTGCTCACTCGGGTGTCCAACGATATACGAGCAATGCTTCGAAGACACCTATGTTCGAAAACCAGTAACCGACGAATATCTTCCACTCTCACTGGCCATGTCTCACAGCCATAAAGTAAGACGGAGCGAACCACTGCGCAGTACACCCGTCCGTTAGTCAGCAAACGGATATCTCGCCTACGCCATAAGTGACGCAGGTTGGCAAAAGCCAATCGAGCCTTCTGTATCCGTGCTGAGATTTCGTCAGTCACCAGGCCATTGGCACTGATGAGACTCCCAAGATAAGTGAAGCGGTCTACATGCTCGACTACTTCACTCCCTATCACTAGTTCAGGTGCCGATGCAACCCAGTCTTGAAGCAACATTTTGCATTTCGAGGGGGAAAACCGCATCCCGAACATGCTTGCATTGTTGCTTAGGGTAGTCAGAAGACTCTGCATTTTGTCAGCGTCTTCACCAAGTAGGACTATGTCATCGGCATATTCTAAGTCAATAAGCGAGCCACCTGGTAAAAAGTCTACTCCTGAAAATTCAGACGGTTATCATCATCACTTCCTCAGATCATTACTTTAATATATACCTGTTTTATTCAAAGGCTAAAGACTACCTTGCTTACGTCTGTTACACACAATGAAGCATAGACCACCGACCAGTTTTCTCCAACGTACTGTGTCCTGGGCTTCCCTTTCCAGCATTGTTCATTCTTCTCATGTCTCTCCATACAGTAGAACTGTCTTGATATTTGTACTAACCTGCTGCTGATGATGCTGCTGCTACACTGGTCGTCTTCTCTTGCATTTATTTGTGGTGTGTACGATAAAAGAGCCAAATTATGTGCTAAGTCCAGATCGTCCAACTGCATACTGGCTGTCCACTATCTACCATGCTTCCGTCCGGATGTTGACATCTTCATTATCCAGTCGGTTACCAGGAGAAATAGAAAGGGTGAGAGTAAGCAACCTTGCCTGACACCGGTCTTCTCCTCGAACAACTTTGTCAGCTGTCCTTCATGCACTATTTTGCAGTTTAATCCATCATAAGAATTCCGTATGATGTTGACTATATGCTCAGGCACGCCGTCGAAGAAGCCATCATAGTGTTTTCCTGTCCACGCTATCGAATGCTTTCTCGTAATCAATCAAGTTGATGTAGAGTGGTGAGTTCCATTCAATTGACTGTCCCACAATGATCCGTAATGTTGCAATCCGGCCGGTACACGATCGATTCTTACGAAATGCACCCTGTTGGTCTCGAATTTGGGCATCTACGAAGTCCTTCATTCTGTTTAACAATACCCTGTTGAATGCTTTGCCTGGTATTGAGAAAGGAGTGGTGCCTCTGTAGTTCTCACACTTGCTGAGATCGCCTCTCGATATTTTGATTTGGTGTCCTTGTTTCCAGTCTGTTGGTACTTGTTCTTCATCCCAAATTTTCTTGAAGAGAAGGTAAAGACTATCATTTGTACCAAAATGCATGTTCACGAATTGTCTGTATTACTGCGGAACTATGTTATCAAAAACGCAGAGATTTTATCTGAAGATAGCGAAGCTGGTATTCTCAGTAGTATGTTTTTAGAATGGTCTGTAACCTGGAAATTCTGCCAGTATATGTTCTATTTCATTGCAGATACTACATTTTTTCTTTGGTTTTTTCAATGATTTGATGTTTTTGTAGCAATTTTTCAAACTCCTTGACCCTCAGAACTCAGTGAAAGCTTATGAAAGTGCTTTCGAACAATACCCTGATCACGGAACAGATGATGGTAAGTATCGGCTTTTAACATGGTGCCGCCCTTTTTTTATCTAAAAATATTTTTGTTTCATCACTATAAGCAGTCATACTGCTGCTGACTGTAGACAGGTGTGACGGCAGTCAAGTGTTTTCAGCGGATGACCAGCATTCGCAGTGATGCTTCCCTCTCACAACAGAAGGAATGGGTAAGAAAAGGTCACCGCTGAAAATGTCATACCTCACCTTACCTCACGGATTTCCGTCTCCCGTGGTAAAGCCCATTAAAGAGCATAGCTACATTCCCAAAACATCGCATGAAACGCCGAGTGTGACCGGCCTCCACCAGCAGCACAGGAGACCAAATATGCGGATTTCAGTACCATCGACCTAATTGATAGATACTCCGAAACTCGCCCCTACGAGATTTAAGGTGAGTTTTACAGAAAACCCTCTAACCCTCAAAATGTTGGGCACTCTGATATAGTAATAATGGCTGATGACTATAATGCTCAATCAGGCAGACTAAGTGAAAAGGAAAGAAACCTGGGCGGATCTTATACTGTCGCAGCTGATCGAACAGATACTGGCAACTGTAGCAGTGCCCGTCGTTGAAATCAGTACCAAAGTATATTAACTTCGTACAGGATCTCTACTCGAACACTACTGGCCGAGTCAGAGCTTTTGGCAAACTGTCGTCAGGATCGATTACCTCAAGTGGGGTCCGTAAGGGCAGCTCACTCCCTACATTCCTATTCAACTTTGTCATTGACATGCTTTTAGAGATGACACCTTCATCGTGTGACTTTCCAGCAGTTGGCCTTCTATCAGGAGACACGCTTATTGACTTAGAATATGCATATGACATAGTTCTGTTTGGTGAAGATGCTGACAACATCCAGAGTCTTTAGAGATTATGTGGAATTCCGAAGGTTAGAAAAAACACGAGTGGTTACATTCACGCCATTGGAGACGATTTTGAGCCATGTCGTCCAGGGTCTCTTACCATCTGTGACTTTCGTCTTGCGGATCCCAACCGGGTAGTCTACATCTACCAACATGACTCAGTGCACTTGTCAGTGACCTCATAGATTTGTGCCATGTTTTCGTTTGGCTGCCCATAGATTTCTTCTTTCCTAATCCTACACCACAAAACGTTGCTCATCGAGGCAGTCAGTGATAGGGCATACGCAACACATGTCCCGACCACCTCAGCTGATCAAGTTTCACTTCATCGGAGACTTTGGCGCGAGGTCTGGGAGAGCACGCTCGACTGGCTTTTGCCAACTCGCGTCACTAATGGCGTTGGCGAGATATCTGTTTGCTGACCACAAGGCGAGTTAACTGCACAGCAGTTCGCTTTGTCCTGCCTTACGGGTGTGAAACGTGGGTTTTAAGAAAGGAGGATACTCGTGGGTTATTAGTATTTGATCATGGGTGTCTCTGAAGTGTTGATCGTACATCCTGAGACCACTGAGCAAGCAATGATGGTGTTAAGAAACTGGTACTAGATAAGGATGGCAGATAAATTAATAAAGTAATGAATCTTCATCGGTTGAGGTAACTGAGAAATGTGCTACGCCTGCTTAACCTCCGACCGCCCAACGAGCAATGTTTTATGATGTAGAAGTAGGTTGGAAGAAAGTTAGTGACGTCTAAAGCTGGTTGGGGTCCGTGAGACAATCGAAACCTGCGGTTAGGGACTTTGAATGACATTGCTCAAAATCGTTTTCTCTGGAGCAGATGCATCCATTCTCTGCCTTCTCTCAAATCCTAATCTTCTGTGTTCCTCATCACCTTTATCTTTTTCTTTTATTTCACTAGATTCTACTTCTCGAATAATATCTTCGAACCTTAAAATTTCCGATTACTGATAATACTTTTACTAACTCTACTACTATGGGATTTGAATTTACAATTGCGTCTCTGTGCTAATGTGGTATGGCAACCTGACCTGATGTTCTTACGTACTAAGCCAGTTACAACGTAGAACTTCGTACCTAAGTACATCAGTTCATGTCACCACACCACTAGGCATCTTGAAGAAGAGGTTTTTAAACTCCCCAAAAAAGATGTCTGCATCAATCTTGAGGTTGGTACTCACCAATCGGACTATGTTCAATCAATCTTTCGCATCGTAAATTTATAAATTTAGTTGTTTCCATGTAGCTAGGTACATAAATTGCCTAATAAGTATTTTACCTGAGCACAGGCATAGAAGGCTCGACTGGCTTCTACCAAGGTGCGTCACTTATGGCGCAGGTGAGATATCCGTTAGCTGACTAAAGGACGAGTGTACGGCGGAGTACTTACCTCCGTCCTACTTTATGGATAGGAAACATGGCCAGTCTCAATAGATATTCGTAGGTTGCTTGTTTTTGATCATAGATGTCTCCGAAACATTGCTCATGTCTTATGGGACAACCGTATAAGTAACGCTGTCGTTAAAAAATGAGTACCAGTTGAGGATGGCAGGTCAATAGATGAAGTATCGAAACTTCAGTTGAGGTGGTTGGGACATGTGTTACGTATGCCTACCCACTGACGTCCTCGACGAGCTGTATTTTGTGGTGTAGGAGTAGGTTGTAAGAAACCTAGGGGCATCCAGACTAAAATATGGCAGAAACCCATGAAGTCACTGACAAGTGTACTGATTTATGTTAGTAGATGTATGCTACCTGATTGGGGTCTGCTAGACTAAAGTCGCCTATGGTTAGAGTCGTTGAACGACATGGCTCAGAATCGTTTGCAGTGGCGCTGGTGCATCCACTCTTTGTGTCCTCTCAGATTCTAACCTTCTGAATTCCTCATAATCTCTATCTTTCTCTTTTTAAATTTATCTCACTGAATTATACTTTTCGAATCGTATCTTCGCTCCCTAATCTTTTCCATTACTGCTTATACTTCCACTCTTGGATTTGAATTGACAGTTCCATCGCTGCGTGCTAATGTAGTATGGCAAATTGTACTGTTTTTTGTTGTAGCTGACTGATTGATTGAGTGATCATGTTCCTTTGTTTCAGCGTAAATGGTTTGAATTAATTTTTTTTATTTACAGATCGAAACTCTGCCCTTTCAATTATGCTTCAAATGAGGCGTTATGACCAAGCGCTTAAGGTAAATATAAAATGTTTATATATATATATATATATATTTTGTATATAGTTAACCTTCTGTAATTGATAGTCTTTCATAACTTACATTTACTTATAAGGATGCTGAAGTTAATCTTTTAATTGCTCTTCAACCTCATCATCTAAGTTGTTATCGTGAATGAGCACGTGTTCTACCGTCGTGTTTCGAGTTACTTAGTGGTGAACTTATGTATTAAATCGCTTTTCTTTACTTAGCTTGGACTGATTATTTCATGGTTCATTTTGTGATTCAAATTAATAAGTAGTTAGATTATATTGTAATTTGTTTGATTGACCCATCGTTTTCAAGCCCCAATAACCCATTCATTTATTTTAACGGTATTTGTTATTTATCACTTCGGTTTTGGTTGGTCGATTTATTTTAAGTGTCCATATGTCTCTTTATACTTTGAAAGCAGTTGCTTGTTTTTATGTATCAGTTTGTGCACATACTAATAAATGCTCATTTTCTTATTAGACATATATATATACAAATAAGTTGTCACAGCAGTCATTCAGTCAGTTACAATGTAGAACTTCGTACGTACGTACATCACTTCAGATTGCCATACCACATTAGCACAGAGACGCAACTGTCAATTCACATCCCATAGTGGTAAGGATAGTAGAAGTATTATCGGTAATGGAAAAGATTAGTGTTCGAAGACATCATTCAAGAAGTTTAATTCAGTGAAATAAATTTAGAAATATAAAGGTGGAGATGATAGCGAATTCAGAAGATTATAATTTGAGAGAATACAAAGAATGAATGCGCCTGCGCCATGGCAAACGATTTTGAGCCATGTCGTTTAGGGTCTCTTACCATATGTGACTTTCGTCTCGCGGACCCCAACCAGGTAGTCTACATCTACCAACATGACTCAGTGCACTCGTCAGTGACCTCATAGATTTGTGCCATGTTTTGGTTTGGCTGCCCATAGATTTCTTCCAACCTACTCCTACAGCACAAAAGTTGCTCATCGAGAACGTCGGTGGGTAGGCATACGTAAAACCTGTCACAACCACCTCAACTGATGAAGTCTCAATATTTCATCTGTTAATCTGCCGTCCCCACCTAGTACTCGTTACCTAACTATAGTATTGCTTACTCGGTGGTCTCAGGATGTACGATCAACACTTCAGAGACACCCATGATCAAATACTAATAACCCACGAGTATCCTCCTTTCTTAAAACCCACGTTTCACACCCGTAAGGCAGGACAAAGCGAACTGCTGTGCAGTTAACTCGCCTTGTGGTCAGCAAACAGATATCTCGCCAACGCCATTAGTGACGCGAGTTGGCAAAAGCCAGTCGAGCATTGTATATCCGTGCTGACATTTCGTCACACATCAAGCCATCAGGACTGATGAAACTGCCAAGATAAGTGAAGCGGTCAACACGCTCAACCGCTTCATTTCCTATCACTAGTCCACGTGACGATGCAAGCCAATCCTGAAGCAACATTTTGCATTGTGAGGAGCAGAATCGCATCCCGAACATGCATGCATTATTGCTTAAGGTGGTCAGAAGACTCTGGATGTTGTCAGCATCTTCACCAAACAGAACTATGTCATATGCATATTCTAAGTCAATAAGCGTGTCTCCTGATAGAAGGCCAACTGCTGGAAAGTCACACGATGAATGTGTCATCTCTAAAAGCATGTCAATGACAAAGTTGAATAGGAATGTAGGGAGTGAGCTGCCCTTACGGACCCCACTTGAGGTAATCGATCCTGACGACAGTTTGCCAAAAGCTCTGACTCGGCCAGTAGTGTTCGAGAAGAGAGCTGTGAGGTTATTCTACTTCTTTGGTACACAGTGAGCTGGTGTTCGCACAAAGAATTTGTTTGCTGAACTCCTATTCAAAGATAATCTTAGTGTGTAGAATAATAGTCTACTCACAACACATTACAGTTGCCTGTCCAGCTGCTGGCTTAATAATCACATTCACTATGAAAAGGGTCCTCAGATAAACTAACATAGATAATAGCCTTCTTCTGATCACCTTCACCTGTATTTGTATCAGCTTACAAATTGGAAGCGTGTATGGGATTTTATTTCGGACGGAGCGTGCCAAAGAATTTGATCTTGAATCGCTTCAAGCTACTAGGTAGCACCATAGGAAGAGTCATACGACTGCTTTCCGATTGGTAAATTGTCAAAAAATGATCCATTTCTACTTTACCTAGAGGCTGCCGCTACTCGTTCACTCAACGCCAATTTATGTATGCTGAAGGAACTTGTTGTCCACCCGATATTGTGACGGTAACTGTTTCAATTATAGTCTCTTCATTACTTCTCTCGTTTGCAAAATGTCTGAAAACTGATTTGTTTGACCCCACCCTTATTTCTTAATTATTACTATTACAATTAGTCTTATCATTTCAATATCATTCGGTAGAATGTTTGACTCCTTTTTTATATAATCTTCCGTTTTCTCATATCCTCATCATCTATTATTAACACTACTATTGTTATTACTATCATAATAATGATTACTGTAAGATGGTTTCTTGGCAATCGCTATCACTGATATTTTTTTCTATCCTAATCATTACGATCAACATATGTTTATTATTTTCCTCACTTAATCTATTCACCTGTAAATTGAACTTGTATGAATATGGAAAGTATTTCAAGTTGTATTTTACTAGCCAACTGAATGTTACATAGATAATCATATTGTGAAGATTTCACTTTATACATACATATATGGAAGAATTAGAGCAAGCAAAATTAAATCAATTTAATTCATCTTACAATGCTTGTTGTTCTTGCTTCTCGAACATTTAAAGAGGGAACTAATTGCTTGAAATTCCTATGTGAATTGTGTGAACTCATATCGATAAACAACGGTATTTTTTATTTGATTACCATGATTATTTTTTTCTAGAATCAGTTGAATTGTTTTCTAATACATGTAAAGACTTTAATAAAGTTTTGGGTTCTTAAACATTTTTGAAAATTATAGTTTTTCACCTCCTTCTGTGGTGTCAAATTGTACTTAAACTCTGGAGATTTATTTGACATGGACAGACATTCATCCAAGTTGGAATCTGTGAAGAAATTTCAAAGGTAAATTGACTCATAACTGGTTATTTCTTGTCGCTATATAATTTACCTAATATTTTTAGATGTGAATTGCCTGATAATATGGCCGTTGAGTTACAGTTGAAATTATTTCTTATTTTTGCGCATCTCGGACTTGGTCAATTAGTTGTGGTGAGTTGATTAATTGTATTACTGGATTATTCCTAATTTTGACACAAATTTCCAACAGTTTTGAATATATTATTGTTGGGGATGTTAGATCCCCAGAACTCGCTTGATAAATATCTTTATTTGAATGCTTGGATTCATTGTGTGCTGGCTGGATGTTTGTAGAATACACTTTCTACGTTATATCAAGTCTTCTTGCTGGTACAATTGGTTCAAGGGATCAGAGTAGCCTACCTGTGCGCTGGTTGATTGTTTTGTTCTCGTTATTCGACTAAGGTGAACCGGTACTAGTTTTAAGCATACCTAGAGATGGGCATAACAATTATGTACATGAGATAAATATCCACAATCTATTTCGATAAGTTCAAAGTTAAATAAAGGTAATTCTTATTCGTCGTTTTGAAAACTTTACTGAAATTTCTATTATGACCTGTATGTGTATCATATGCTAATAGTCCTCAGTGATCTTTCAATATTCTCCTAAATAATAAATGTATCCATGAACGTCATGTAACAGGATGTTTTCACCAGTTACTGACACATTAGAGTGGTTGCTTAGCTTTTGACACAAATAGTATACAACAAGTTCGGACTCAGCTCCATCTGCTTGGATTTAACGTCCCTAAAAGTATCGCTAGCGTTCATAGATGTTTGGCTCAAAATGGAATACATAAACTTGTATTTGATTATTAAGTGCCAATTATTATTGTTGGGGTAAACTGCTTTTATATATGGTTCACTGCAGCTTTGAATATTCTATTTATTCATCCCATATAGTCCCGTGTTGAATCAACGTATACAAATGAAAATATTACAAAATATTCTAATTGGCTTTTGGATATAGTGGTAGCTTATAAAGAGAAGAATTTGTACTCCACAGCTATTCAGCTAATTTTGAAACTCAAAAAATCAAATGTTACTTGTAAGGTAATTAATTGTTGATTGTTTCTGCATTCGCTGATTTGATACCATCGTGATTTCTGTAACTGTCCAGTTTTATGAATTTTGGAGTTGATTTTTTCTGGAAAAAAGACTAACTTCATATCGTTGGTTTTATGCATGTTGTCTTCGTAGAGGTAATCTTTTGGTATCTGTTTTAGTGATTTTGTGCTTAAACTGATTTAATTATATTATAAGTATGATAATAAGACAGATTTCGGTACCATTATCTGCATTAAACAGAAAATAATGACCAACCACATTCCTATATATGTATGATGTTTAGCTTCTTTTCGATTCATCTTTCCAAAGCAATGATAAACAGCGCCTAATATATAGTCATAGGAAATTAGTCATTGATGTGTATACTTTTCTCCGCGAGTTGTGAAATACTCAACCGGCAAACTAGAGTGAGTAATTTTCCCTTTGTTAAAGTAGAAAAATCAGAGTAATCTAAACAATTTTTCCTGATTTTCCTACATCAACTTTCGAATTTATTGAATGAAATCTAGGAAGGACATTGTTTACCCAGGCATTTTTATGCAATGATAATAATAGTAAAATATCTTGAAAATAATAATTACAAAATCCATACCAATTCACAGATATCAGTGGCCTAATTAGTGTAGACTGCATTGTGTTATTAATGTTAAATCAGAGTGGTGCATATACACTCCTATTGCATACAAATGTAGTACAAATTTGATTAGTCCGTAATCAGACGACATAATAATAATAATCGTCTTTCATTTGATTTCAATTTGCTTGCAGCATGAGGTGTTAAGTTTTCCTCTCGTATCCGATTGCAATCCTAAATAAGGTGTGGTACAGCTTTGTTAATTTCAGATATTTCTTCATAAGATTTGCATTTATGGTCATAAATTTAGATATCCTTTTGTTAAATGGGCAGCTCATTCTAAAATTTTAATTCTCGGGAAATCGATTTACGATGTATAATGAAGTTTAAGTCCAATGCTTAAACCAAAATGTCGTGTTATGTATAAGTCAGTAGTTTAAAAAGACAGTTCAAGTAATGTTCGAATTGTCAGGATATTCATCCAATATCATAAGAGAATTACTTGTAAGTCCAATTCAATTGGTCGATTCCTACTGGTCCATATCACGGTCGTCCTAGCTATCAATGTTACGTACTTCAATGTTGTTTCCCATTGGTCGTCCTGACTATCAGTGTCACTTCAAATGTTGTTTCCTATTAGTCGCCTTAACTGTCAATGTCACAGACTTCGATGCTATTTCCTATTCTACCTAACTGTATAAATACGCATTATTTGTAACGTCTTATGACTCGGGTCCCTAGTCAGGGATCCTAATTCTCTTCTGGACTCAGACCTCGTACTTTCTGGATGCTTGAAGAATACAGGTTCTACTTCATACCAAGTCTTCTTCTTTTACTCAATAGGAGGTTGGGACACTCGGATTTGATTAGCATGTCGTGTCACCAGATCTTCGATCCTCGCTCTCGTTTTTCGACCAAGGTAAACTCGTAATAGCTCAAGCATATCAAATGACGTGTCTACGTGCATGCCTAACACAAATAACTTGCGATACATGTATAAATGACTGTGAGATGGTGGAGAAAACTTGTAGCTCAGGTGGGTGATTGTGGTGGTGTTTCGTTCTCTGAGCTGGATGTTTTGGTTGTGGAGCTTTCATTGTTCTTCTGAACAACATCATCAGCACAAACTTCAGATAGAAGTGAAGCATTCAAATTTCTCCACATTTGACTTGTAGCTTGTTCTGCTAACCTCGATCTTGATTGGTTGACCTTAAACCTGTCGTTGTTTGCACCTTTGTTTTGATTATATTCCCCTTTTGATCTGTTTCTTAATCCTAGGCCAACCAATTTATCAGCCAATCAGGAAAATCACGCTTCACTTCTATCTGAAGTTTATGCTGATGATGTTGTTCAGAAGAACAATGAAAGCTCCACAACCAAAACATCCAGCTCAGAGAACGAATCACCACCACAATAAATGACTGTTGATCTGTGATATAACGACAAAATCTAAATATATTTTCGTTTCCACCGATTGTTTCTGCAATATGATAATGTGACAGGTGACCGGTTTTTTGCTACTAGGTTGAATGCTTGATTGATATGCTGCTCATAGAGCGGATCATGGTATTTCAGGTGCACGACTTACAACCAAAAAAGGAGAAAAAAAAGCATGTTTTAGACGCTATTGTATTCGCTGTTAATCCAGAGTAGAAATCAATAATAAGAAAGGAAAACACATTTTATGTTCAGTAAGCCGAGCGTCTGTTTATGGTCAATCATATTTATTTTCACTAAAAGCATGTTCTCGGATAATTGGATTATTTCGTCAATGTTGAGAGACCTAATATTGCGTACTTTGGGTTAATGTTTCTGATTTATTTTCATCAGCTGGTACAAATTTGGACATTATTGGCTGAATGTTATTTAGAAGAAGGTGAAACGGAGAATGCCATCAAAGCTTATCGTCATGTCACAGAAAATCTTGATCCGCGGCATACTGGTGCACGCCTAGGTCTTGTAAATCTTCTTCGACGTCTTGGCAGAAATCAGGAAGCCTTGAATGTAAGTTTCGTTAAATGTTTATTCATAGTACTCATTTTATAATAAAGCTCTGAACCAAAGTTTCGTACTTTTCGAGACGTAACTAAGATACGTCCCTAGTTCATCGGAAAATCCATTATCTCCTGCTTGTTGAAAATTGCGTCTGTTAGTGCTCCAATCACTGACGTTATCATGGTCAAATCTCTGAGTCTACAAAAGGATGGGATTGAAGTTAATAGTGTATACATGTATATTTTTGCGTTAATATTTATCGATCCAATCGTTCTTGCTTCTTTTAAATTTTTAGTTTCTAAATCCCTCAGATTTAGTCCAGAAGGGTGTTAAGCCTGAAATATCTTTAACTGAACAGTGTGATCTAATTGTCCAACGAAGAGAAAAATCTCCACTGAAAGCCGGTCATAGATCAACGTTTAAATCACCCACAACTGGCTTACAACGAACTCCAGTTGGTGGGGATGTTGATAGTGATGAATGTTCTCTCGAAAAGGTTTCCCTAAATAATGACTGGCTCGATGCATCTGCTAATCTTGTCTCCCGTGATCATGTGGCGTACAGATTAGCCTATGAACGTTGTCGAATGCTTGATACACCAGAAACTGTAGATTCATTTTTAGAAGAAGCTTGGGCTCTGTTGTTTAGTGATGTAACACGTGTTTGCGGACTTAGGTTTACTCAACGTAAGTGACTTTTTCTGTTGAATCAATATCCTATTTTTTATATCTTTTCTGATAGATATCATTTGTTACGAGTTGGTTTTATGATATTCTACAGTTGGCTTTTACACGCTTTTTATTGATATAGCTGAAAATCTATCCACTCCTCTGTATGTTATATGTCATGGTGAGATTGAAATGTACACAGTTTATCATAACCTGAGGAGTTATTATGTTCTTATTATATTGGTCAAGAGTTGCAGGTCATGGATAATTGTAGGCAGATCGGTACTAATTATAGTTTTTGTCCCTCATTTATCTGAACGGATGTGCACATTGTAACCAAGGGACTAGTTACCTGTTCAGACCCGAATAGTTCGCGTTAATTTAGATCCACAACTTATTGGTTTAACCTCAATAGTTTACTCACTTTTCAAATAAAATGTAGGGATTTATGATGTCGGGAATACAACTGTCACTTTTATTATTCAATTTGTTGGGATCGCGAAAATGTTTCTCAACAAAGTCTCCAGAAGCCCGTAAAAGACTGGGAATTTTCCATCCAGCTTCTCAGAAGTGTCTTGAAGAATGAAGGCTTATACGTCACTTTTTTATTAGTTAACTACTTATTTTTTACTATTTCAAGGTCATTCTAAAGCCTATGAGTGAAACTGACTTTATTTACTCATATTTCCTGCATTTTTCCCATTGTCTAGCTGTATAAGCATTCTGGAATTAAAGGAAGCTCCTAGAAATATAGCTACAGGCTTTCAAGTAGAAGACTTATCACATTTAAAGGCAAATAAATTTTTCATCTTGACTGCATTTATTTTGTGCATAAACAGAGGTGTAATATTCATAAAAGCGTTGAAATTTCATCTTTTAGATAACTGTAATAAGTTAGTTTAAAATTTGGATTGCTACTAAAACTGTTCAAAACCGAATACTAAAATAACTTAAATCATAGTTTCATGCTACCTACTGTAGATTCATTGGACATGGCACAAATCCATGAATTCACTGACAACTGGATCGATTCATGGTGGTATGTGGAGACTACCTAGTTGGGATCAGTGCAACAATCGGAACCGATCGTTAGAGACTTTGAATGACATTGCTTAAAATCGTTTGCGGTGGGTCAGATGCATCCATTGTTTGTCTTCTCTCAAATTCTAATCTTAAGAGTTCCGCATCACCTTTATCGTTCTCTTTAAAAGTTATTTCACTGGATTATACTTCTTGAATCGTATCTTCGAACCCTAATCTCCGTTACTCTTATTACTTTTGTTACCTCTACTACTATGGGATTCGACTTGACAATTCCATCTCTACGTGCTGATGTTGTATGGCAGCTTAAGCCGATTTACATACGTACGTAGTTCTACGTTGTAGCTGACCGGCTGTAGATTCGTTAATCATTTCCCTATACTTCTGGGATGAGAGTGTTTCTTGCTAGTATAGCTAACTATTTAACTGTCGTTGGTATTCTGTGGAGAAATTGTCTTGTAAACAGTTGGCTGAACGATTTACTCCATTTTGTTTTATTGTACTTAGGTTAGATTTCTAACTGACTTCGTTATATCGTTATACCGCGTGATGTAAGTGCTCCTAATGAGATGCCATTATTTTCTATTACTTGAAATGCTTTGAGTTATAGTTATTCCACTGTTAGCTATTTCAAGCGTTCAATCTACAATTTAAGATATGTTCTAGAATGTCCATGTTTTATAAGGCGATTGGTTGGTGGTATAACGTCGCTATTTGCCGATATGATGGTGTTTTCACTTCGCACCTTTTCTCTTGTGTTCAGATACCAGTGTAGATTTAATCTGGGGTCATTAGGAGCAGATATGGGACCAGATCTTGCGTTCGTTTAGCAGACTTATCAATAAGTTACACTAAATAAACTGCCACTTATTTTAATTTTGTATGCAACAAACACTGTCCTAATCATTAAAAAGTAAACCGTTTTGCTTACCTTCATCGAGACATGTACACTGTTTAAAGACTAAAGAGAGTATATTTGCTCTCAATTCATTTAAATTTCGGCTTATGTGAAATTTAACAAGTGTAATGTTAACGGTGAACAAATTTTCCTACTAACCTTTTGTTACTTTATTTTTGAAGTTGCCCTAACTCTTGATAGTGAACAACATCGAAAATTAGTGATTGATCGACTAGCTTCTGTCGCTCCTGCATTAACTGATACACTATCTGACCAGATAGACGCTGGACGTTCAGAAACAAATGGTGTAAGCAGCTCAGATATTTGGGGATTATTTTTGCGCGTCGTGGATGTGCTACGAGCTCGCTTGCCAAAATCCTTGCCTCAACTGGAAACAGCTACTGCATGGGCTTCTTTATTACCTCATGTTCAAGGTAATGATTTGCGTCGGTTAGCTGCGAGTCATCTTTTAATTAGTTCCTCACTTATTGCACGCCATGGCACACCAGCATTTTTAGAACTACGAAAAATACAAAAACAGGTCAGTTATAATATATATCACGTTATATAATCATTCAGATCCTATATTTCGCAGCATTACCGTGTTTAGAACTTGCAGTCATTAGCGAAGTATTCTCAGACAGGATAATCTGCACCAATCATATTGAATGTTTGATTTGTGAAATCAGTAATCAACCTGTCTGAAATGATGTGCATTGATGGCTTGAAAAGAATTCTAACTAGCGATCTAAACGTTACCAACCCATCGCTCTCTTGTCTGTGCTACAAGACTAGATCACGACCAGTTTTCAACTGTTCTGATGATCAGTAAAAATACAGTCTTTTGTTTCCGATGCTTACACAACTCGAGCTTTTTGAAAGTCATTCATCATCAAATCCACATGTTCGAGTAGGTAACTTATTACAGTTTTAATGCCGTTTGAAAAGCAATAAGTTTTAATGCCTTTTCAGCTGTTTTGATGTAATGTATAAATCAGAAAAGGTTAATTAAAATAAATAAAAAAAAAGTAATGACAACATGGACTGAAATAAACCACCTGTAAAAATTTTTACTCTTTTTTACTTTTATAAGCAATTGAACTATTTTCATTTATGTATTGTTCAAACTAACAGTCCACGAAACGTAGTTCATTCAGTCGCATTCATGTTTTGTTTAGAATATTTTACTTTGTAACCCGAAGTCCGTTTATTTTCTTTTACCCATTATTACAAAGATTCCTAACATTTTATACATAGTTAAATTATGATTAATGTGTTAGTCAACGACTTGTCCGTTACTCCGAATACAGAAACAGCTGATTGTAACGTGCACATGTTACAACATGCTAAGTATGAATCTGTAACTTACCATTCTTATGGTTTCGACGAACTTTATTTGTTTGTATGTTTTCACTTTGTTTTGCCGTAAAACTTTAAGAGGATTCTGAAATCCGTCATATTTTTCACAAGTTTTGCTTAACTTTGATTCTTTTCTAGTGGAGTGAATACAATCAATATTGGAATGTGATGAATCTAGCAATCACTCTTTCACGTGATTTTAAACACTGTCGATTTTTGGATCGTTTGGTTACCAAAGTAAGGTTTTTCGTAGACAAATCTACTGTTCAGCTTACTTGTTATTCATTAACCGTACTTGACTTAAACAGTAAATATCTTGATTGTCTATCATCTAATCTTATATTGTGTTGGAAGTACATACTCAGACTTTAGTGTTCTGTCTCAAAGTCGTATGTATAAATAATTATAGACAATCTTTATGAAGATTTACTGATTGTCTTAAGTTTAATTTGCACAGGCATGCTCACAGAAAGCCCATCTCACAGGAAGTAATATGATTTCAACGTTAATTTCTTTCCATTTTAATTTTCACGTTTTTTGATAACAGTATCCCACTATTTTGATTCAGGATAAGATCATTACATCATGAACTAAGTGGGATGTGTAAGACAAAATACACTACTACTACTACTACTACTACTATCGCTCTTATTATCATTGGGTTAATATGTTGGTGATGATCGTTGAAATCTATAATTAGCTTAGTATTTCTTTTCTATGATTTGAAATTTTTACGTCGTGCTTACTATTCTATGCTTTTCAGGATAGTTTAAATTTGGCTATTGGTACAATTGCTAGCAGTGACACTTTGGTTCGAGGTTCATATCGTTATGCTATTGGCAAGTCTTCTTATTCGATTAAACGTGTTTACTTCGATTTATGCCCATCCTGTGATCGACTTTCATTATTGATATGATTGTCTTTGTTTACTTTGTTTGTTGGTCCTCAAGTTAGACTCTAAGTGATTACTGATTATCATCATAAATTAATCGAAGGTCATTAGTCTTCTTTTTTTAATTTAACAAATAGTTTGCCTAAGTTAACACTTTTCGACTCCGTGCTGTTTAATTTAGGTTCAAGTTATTTGAAGTGACAATTGCGTCTCTGTGCTAATGTTGTATGTCAACATAAACTGATGTACGTATGGATACGAAGTTCTACGTTGCTATTGATTGCCTTTTAACTAGAATGAGAAGCTCGAATTTACATGATAACTTTTGCTGGGCAAACATCTCAGAAGAATTCGATTATGTTTACGTTTATTTACTTAGTGCCGATTGCAAAACTGATCGAACGGAGTAGTCGTCTCTTTACGTAAATTTATAGTGAATGTTTTCATCACAACTAACTGCATACTAAATAAACTCATAAAAATGAAAGTTTACCTTAAATCAGTATGTAAATTTGAAACTTGATTTCTTTCTTAATGTAAGGATTAGTCATCCTTAACAGATATTGAGACTCAACTTTCTGCGAACGTCTGCAAATACTGTTCATGATTATTGTGTGTAACTGTACCTCCGGCTACAGCTCAAACCGACAGTTAGTAACTTCATGCTGCTTCTTAGTTTAGCTTCTTTCATGCATCACTCGGCATTTGTAGAAGGTGGCTAAACATTCGCAATACGTGTTCAAGCCACCACAAATTTCATATATTAGCATAAGGACACCAAACTTCAGGCTATATATTGTACATTACACGTATTTAATAACCAATATCAATTCCTAGATGTTCATTTCTGTTGTGAATGCATTTAAAATTGCTGTGCTACTGAACTACAATTTTTGTTTTCGCTTTAGAAGTGGTCATCACCACTGATGAAACATAATTTACTGTTAATTTTGTACCGTTAATTTGTATTAGCTACTATAAAAGTTATGACCATGCTTCCCATTTTATACTGCACAGTTTTCTTATTTAACGCCTTAATTTTCCTATTTTCAAATGAAAGCTCGATTAATCAATATGAGAGAGAAATATCCGGATGATGCACTTCTTGCTTTACTACTTGCTGTTGGTTTTCTAAGTATGTCCATGCAGAAGCATATTGGTTCACGTCATCTTGCTATTTTACAAGTAAGTTTTTCCACTGTGTAGCATGACTGATCGCCTTGTGTTAGTCTTGTCATTGAAAGAACATGTGAAGATTACATCACTATTCTTTTCGAAAACTATTTCAATTGCATATCCGCATATAATGCAATAAAGTTAGCAGTGAATAAAACAGTCTTGTTATTTAGATGTTACTTTTTCTATGGAGAGAGAAGATTGCTTCTGGTAAACACAATAATTCGGTTGTGATAATTAAGATTCCTTATGGACAAAATTAACATTAATGGGCAGTTACATTTTCAGATCGTACATAAGTGGCACCAAATAACGTTCTCATACTCGCACAGATGTTCTGATTATCTTTAATGAATATCTTTGGGACTTGTCATCTTGTGACAACAACTCCCTATATACATGGTTTGATGTTTTTTCTAAATAATTCCAGTTGTCTTGCATTGTCTTTATTTATCTTTAAGGCTGTTGGTTTTCTTGGGGAATATAAACGTTTACGTGGTGATTGCCAGGAAGTTTACTACAATATAGCACGTGCTTGTCACCAACTTTGTAAGTTCACTGGTATTCTGTTTCTAGAAGTCCTGATTCGATTGCATACGTTTTATTTCACGGTAGCACCGTAGACTGTTACTGATATCTTTCGCTGTTTCACCTAATTAGCTGCTGGTAGTCTGATAAACTGTATGGTGCTTTTTTGTAATATTATTAGAAGGAACTTTCTTTAAGCACAAAAACGCTTTGAGATTATAATCTTTTATTTAATGACTGAGTACTGTATGATTAGGTGAACAGTTCATAGGTTTAATAATTTAATTCACGTGGAAATAATAGTAGACGAGAATGTAACTGAAGTATTAAGCAATCTATACTTTGCCGAGTAAAGTCAGTCATAGATATTAAGACGAATTTTTTATAAGTGTACTTTTTATTCTGTTCTGGACGTCTACTTCCATTTTTGATAAAGGTTTGAGCAGGAGTGTCTACACTATTATTATGTTTCCAAACGAAGCATTTTGAAATGCTATTGTTCGAAGCCACGTTTCAATAACACATGCTTAATACATTTTGTGTGACTGTTCTTCAGTTTGTATTTTAACGCTCAGCATTATAATCTGTGTTTTGTTTAGTAAAAATATAAACTTAAAAAACGTGTACGTCTACCATAACAAATTTTCCCACAGTATTGTCTTGTAGATACCAAGCTGTCATAAGTCATAATATCTTCTTCACATGGTTTAATGAGTAAGATTCTACTATTCATTTCTTCTCTGTCTTCTACTGACGAGCATATCATCATGATAATTAAACTATATCGTCTGTAAATACTTGATGGAAACATTCACGAGAGAATAATTTTTACATATATTATTTCTTTTTAAGGATATAAGATTTATTCCGTTATGAACATGAGCTTAATTTGTGGGAATAATGTTTCCTTTCCTAGCTTGTCTCACTTTGTTATAGTATATGGTTGATATTTTTATGTGATAGTTCAAATAGTTAGCTGTCATCGACAATGCACTACACAAGCACTTGTTCTTTTCTTATCCAGTAATCACTCATATGGCTATTCATTATTATGAAAAAGTCCTTGCTATGGAGCCTATTGGAAATACTCCTGAAGAGAAATCCGTAAGTCTTGATTTCTTTTACTTCAATCTACACCATTACTTTTCGTTGTCATTATCACGGAAGCAAAAACACCTGGTAGTTAACCGAACCTATACATGCATCTTATATTCAAAAATATTTTGGTAAATACGCTTTCTTAAATTGGTTTAACAGACATGTTTTAAGTGGAAGTAGTAATCCTCCGCTCGCTTATTGAGTAATGTTCAAGCCTTTTAATGTAAAAGTGGATGTTAGGACTTCAGTGTAACTCCACCTGTCCCACTTCTAGAGTTGCTGTTGGACCCAAACCTAGATACAAAACAGGGTTGGATGTGGGGTAAGCGACCTCATTGCGTTGAAAACAATCTTACTAAAAAGATGCTAACTAGAAGAAAGCACTGACCATTTCAGCTGTTTCCTAGGATTCCAAAGGTCTTCATACAAAAGAGTTGTAATATTGGATGGTGAAAGGAGAGATTTTTCGAAAGTCACGAGGCCGATGGCTCTTCTGGCAGCAGAAGAGACAATGATATAAGTACGTGTAATGTCTGAATAACGTGAGAATGACATTCAAACAGATGCGGAAATGAAAAGATATACCTGGCGGTATATGAAAGAAACAAAGTCCTGAGATGGTGAAGTCAGTTGGGAAAAAAGACTAGCTTCGGGAAATATGCTGTTGCGTCCCAGCCATGAAAGATGATGATGCCTCTCACACAAAAAAGGTTGTACTAGTGCTGTACGAGTAAAAGCAGCAAGCACTTATAGGATGCATTTCTCATTGGTCTAGGATTATCACACCATCTTTCGAAACAAAGAAGGGGATTACAGTGACTGTTATCCAGTTCTATGTGTTCACCAATGATGGCAGTGGAGACGATAAAAATCTGTTCTATGTGAGGCAGCAGTTGTTTGTGGAGAAATACCCAAGAAAGTACTTTGACCGTCCTGATGGGGACTCTAAATACCGAAGTTGGAATGGACAACACCAGGTTTGGTTTATGTAAGTGAACTCGTGTAAAATATTTCAACTTGATGGTCAAAAATTTTCCATTGTCTGGAACTGGAGTTCGGAAAAGCCTCGCTAAGCAGGATGTTTGAAGACAGTACTAATGACTACATTTCAACTTTATTTCTTTAAAATTTCGATCCTCTTTTTCGAATATCGGATACTTTTAACTATTAGTTGCAAACTCGAGTCGTATATTAGTTGTCATCTTTTGTCATCGGTACTCTAAATGCATTTGTCTTGTTAATAACATAATGAAAAATATTATCATACTATCTTGTGACTATAAATTGTACCACATTTTCTTAAGTTCTATTTTGCTTTATTTTATCAGGTTACTAATCTCCATAAAGAAGCTGCTTTTAATTTAGCTCTTCTTTATCGAACAAACGGAAACCCAACTCTGGCTTGTCATATACTTCAAAAATATATTGTTATTTAAGGAAGATGTATCAATGAACTATAAGATTCATTTATTTAATATGCATAATGATACATAGAGAAGTACAATTGTTCTGAGATTTTTAAGGATAGGGGTTCAGTTTTATCAGGTAGACCTTAGGTGGATTCTGGGAACTGGAAGTAATCCCATCTGACAAGTCTCAATCACTATTTGTTTCAGTCTGTCTAGATGAAAGGACATACATCCTCTTGTGACAAACACAGAGGAATCAGTTTAATTAAGAGTCCAAAATGTCAGCTTCTATAATACTTAGACGCCTAAATAGACCTCGAGAAAACCAGGCTAGTTTCAGATCTGGAAGTGGATGTAAAGACCATATATTCACGCTACGTCAGCTCCTAGAACATACACATTTAGGCGTCCGACAACAGCTGTATTCGTCAACCTTAAGGCGGCGTAGGACTCTGTCGATCTTGAGGTTCTGTAGCAGTTTCCGTCGTACAGGATCTCTACTCGAGCACTACTAGCCGAGTCAGAGCATTTGATAAACTCGTCAGAATCGATTACGTCAAGTGGGGTCCGTAAGGGCAGCTCACTTCCTACATTCCTATTCAACTTTGTCATTGACATGCTTTTAGAGATGACACCTTCATCGTGTGACTTTCCAGCAGTTGGCCTTCTATCAGGAGACACGCTTATTGACTTAGAATATGCATATGACATAGTTCTGTTTGGTGAAGATGCTGACAACATCCAGAGTCTTTAGAGATTATGTGGAATTCCGAAGGTTAGAAAAAACACGGGTGGTTACATTCACGCCATTGGAGACGATTTTGAGCCATGTCGTCCAGGGTCTCTTACCATCTGTGACTTTCGTCTTGCGGATCCCAACCGGGTAGTCTACATCTACCAACATGACTCAGTGCACTTGTCAGTGACCTCATAGATTTGTGCCATGTTTTCGTTTGGCTGCCCATAGATTTCTTCTTTCCTAATCCTACACCACAAAACGTTGCTCATCGAGGCAGTCAGTGATAGGGCATACGCAACACATGTCCCGACCACCTCAGCTGATCAAGTTTCACTTCATCAGAGACTTTGGCGCGAGGTCTGGGAGAGCACGCTCGACTGGCTTTTGTTAACTCGCGTCATTCATGGCGTTGGCGAGATATCCGTTCGCTGATCACAAGGCGAGTTTACTGCGCAGCTGTTCTCTCCATCCTACTTTACGGTTGTGAAACGTGCGTTCTATGAAAGGAGGATACTCGTAGAGTTCTTCGAATCGTTCGTACATCCTGAGACCATCGAGTAAGCAATGCTGCTGTTAAGAAAAGGGTACTAGTTAGGGATGGCAGATCAATTAATGGAGCAGTGAATCTTGATCATTTGTATGTAGAAGTAGACTAGTACAGAGCTAGTGGCGGTTAAACCAAACCATTTCGCAAACATTGAGCCTCTCTTCTGTTCTGATTACTTTAGTTCTGATGAAATTTCAGCGCTTGTTTAGAGTTTTTAGTTTTATTCAAAAGCTGCCTAATGGTTTATGTATTTGTTGCGTAATACTTTACTTTGAATCGAATCATTGATTTTTTACTGCTGTTTCCTATCAACTCACACCAGCATAAATTCAGGTTTTCAATCGTATAAATTTTTTATTCATACTTCGCTTATGAGGTCATGCCTATTCTCAGGTATACACTTCAAATGACAGTTTATTCAGGATCTCTTGAACTAATCAGCCAAAGTTAGACTTTCGTTTTCTCCTCTAGAATGTTCTGTATGTCTATCATTGTTTACGATCTCACTAGTCCTTCTATGAAATAAATATTCTGTGAGATGAACATCATACTAAATCTAGTGAAGACTGGTAAAACCTTGCTTTGCATTAGTTTTTAAGAGTGATCCTTCTGAGTCAGACATTACTAAGGGTTATTTTACTCCCATGAAACCCCAATAAGCCTGGTTCATTCCAAAGCATAGAAGCTTCATTCTACATAAATAGGGACAAGATTGACTAGTTTTGTGTATCTTCAATTTTCTATACATTGATAAAAAGCAATTTTACAAAAATCAGTGTTGGCTAGCGTATGGAATCTCAATCAACTTCCGATTTGCAACTGATTGTGATCAGAATTTTGATATTCTTTTTCGGTCATTAAATGTCCTACTAATTATCGTAATATTCTTGAAGTTGTTGTCTTATGTTTAAGCTTATCGAGAATTATATATTACGAACATTTGATGGATATCAAGATTTTGAAACAGTAGAAAGTAAAGATGATTCGTTGTCTAAAAACTGTCAGTTTCTTGAGTGACAACAAACACTTATTCCGTATAATCTACTAAGACATCTTAAGCTTCCAAACTATACTTATAAGCACTAGTCTGTTTCCGAACGGTTCATTTCAAATATTACAACCAGCCATTTGATTGATATCACTGGCAAATAGATAAACACGGACATAGAGTGATGATAGGTTATGTGGCATTATTTTAAATTACTGTCTGTTAAACCCTGATGATAGGTGTACCGAAAATTTTCAAGGAACACAATATTATTTAATACCACGAAGAAGCTGTTTGGACAAAATGAATAATTGGGTTAAATGCTCTCATTGATGAGCAGATAGTTTTTGAATCAAGATTACTAAATTAATTAATTATGTCTATACTTTCAGTTGAGCATTTGTCCCAGTGCAGTTCTGCCCAGTCACATTAATAACCGATGTCATTTTCAGAGAGTAGCCATAAGATTATTCTAATTATTTTACTGAGGAAATACTATGTGGCAAGTCCATTGTATATTCATGTCATTATTCGGAGATATCCAAGTACTAAATTAGTGGTGGCAGAGAACATTAGTGATGAGTTATTACTGACAAAACCTGTAAGTCTTTTGGCTCCCAACTAACGATGTAAAGAAACTGGAAAAGTTCTCATTCAGGGGTACAGAGGTTCATATATGAATACTGGAAGTGTTTGCACTGGTGAAGGGTAGTGGACGTCGCCGATTTAGCTAGTTTACAGAATAATTTGTAGTACAGGAATACGTTGATGTTGGAACTATCGCACATTCCCCTGATATCAGTCATCCAGATAGTATTCCTAGAGACCGTGCCGCTTACTGAAGACCCCTAAGATTTTCTCACGAACTCAAGTAATCCCTGTTTCATGTTATTTTGACGAGAACGTCCGCCCAGCCAATCGGTTGTTATGTTCTTCAAATCCGTAATTCAATTTGGATGTAAATATTTAGTTTATGAGTCTGAAAAAAGAGTACAAAATACCACTTGGAATGTGAAATAATATCTTCCATTACCGTTAACAACCGCACTGATACTGACAGCTCCATAGTTACTTACAACCTCTGATGGTTATCTGATACTAAAAGAAGAGTCGTTCAACCATTTGTTGAACACAATACAGAAGTTCTGTAAGTCATACATTTAAATCCGAAAAGTTGCACTGTACCGTAGCATTAAAAATATGAGGGCAAGTCTATCATTGAAGGTATTGTGAATGAACAACTAGCCGAAAAATATATTGAAATGAACTTGTACTTCATGCAGGAAAGAGTGAAAAGTAGAAACTCTTTGGGGGAACCTTTGTGACTTGTGTGCACAGTTTCCTGTAGTTGTTATTCATTTCACATGCAAAACAAGAAAATGGGATCTGTTAGATCCAAATTACTTGATGAAAATTCCTATATGCTTTTTAAATCAGTTTGCTGTGGCTGAAAGGTTAGGCAGATGGTGTACAGCGTTGTTTTCATCAGCGCATGCAAAAACAGAAAGGTAGATGCCATCAGTCAAATCTACAATGTATGATACGTTCAAAACAGTCAATTTAATTAATTATTTAATTAATTATTTATTCCACAATAACAAGCACTTAGAAAATGGCTTAGTGTACTCAGTTTAAATGAAAATAACCATTCTAGCTATTCGATACTCGAATGAAGGATGGCCATGTCAGATAACCCATACGCGTAAATTGTTCAATGTTACTTTGATGTTCAGATTTCGGCAGCGCGCCTGCACTATGAGCTGTGTCGATCGGATTGCTGGTATAAACACTCTACACTTAAGGCTAAGAACAATATCTTACTGCATTAGCTTCACAGTTTCCATAGGCAATAATGAAGAAGACGCTCAAAGACTGGTGTGTTAACTAAAAAATGGTACAATGAAAGTGCCTACTCTGAAAGTCTGGAAATAGATCGATGTTGTACAACCAAAAATTTACAGGGTAACAGGATGACTTCCGAATACAATTGTCAAAATATGGGTCTTGTATAGATTTCACCAATATATTTAGGTCTCTCGAGGTCATATCGCTGCGTCTGACTCGTTCTGTAAAACATAAAATTGCTCTGGACTACTAGCGCTTTCAGAGTGGTGTCATTCATATGACCCTGACAACCTCAGTTTTATGACGGCCACCTCAATTTTTGTGTTGATCTTCATTACGTTACCTGTACTTGTAATTGATTTTGCGAACATACATGTATGCGCACACACTGTGCTTTCATTACTGCATCCGATTAAGTTTCTTGGTTACGTTTTTCATTTGTCGATTTCTTATTAAGTAATAAAAGTTGGACAAGTTTTAATAATCAACAAATGAACAGACCCTCTACGCCAGTTACCAGGAGAAAGCTACGGATTGCTTGCAAGTGTAGACCGTAGGGTCCACGTGCTTCTCAGATTCATAGAACAGGTGAATCAAGAGCCAACGGATTGCCAAATGATGCATAAGAAATGCTGGCATTAACTAACGAGCAATTCGAATCAACGCACCACCAATAAATCATATTCCGAAATTTTACGGTGTGTATTCGGTATTTCCAATTTACAACACCGGAATCAGTCACTTATTTGAAAAAAATTCTGCTACTAACTTCACCTTTGTAGGGGCATTTTGTAACAAAAGAAATAGATAGAAACAATAGATAGATAGAAACACATCACTGCTATTAGTTGTTGCGATTGTGAAGTTTGGTACTTGAAGTGGGTCATCACACTGTATATGGGGTTTTG